GAAAAAAAACATGTTCAGATTTTCATTCATCCTCAATTTACAAAGAAAGATGGTTTTCATGATCTTCACGTACAACTATTCTTTTCATTGCTTGCGTCCCAAAAACTCTCAAATGAAATGAGTTCGTGTATAAACGCAGATAAAATTTCCTCTCATTCTCTCATTCTGCCTAGGAGCCTTTTTAGGTTTTCATCCTAGCCTCTCTTTTTATTTTCCTTCTCCCAACTCACTCATTTTAGCCACTTTTGCTTAGATTGCCCAATTTTGGGTTTTCAATCTAACTAGCATTTTTTCCTTTTTTTTTTTGTTTTTTTTTTGTTTTTTTTAAAGAATAATGCAAGTTCAAGCTAGAAAGAATGAGTACATACTAAATGAGTGACTCCCCCCTACTTAGTCTGAGCACTGTCCCTAGTGCTCTCATGTTGTCTTTGTTTGGATTTTTGTTTTTTTAGGGGGGGGGGGGGGGGGGGGGGGGTTGCGGGGAATGGATGAAAACAAAAATTGGGGTTTTCAAATAAATTCGGCTCAATGGGATAGTGAATTTGAGGTTGTTTGGGATTTAGAGTTTGGTGTGTTTGGCATTGGGATTGTGAGAGAGAGGCTTGAATTTGGATGAGAGGTGGGGAGGAAGAGGGGGTAATTTGAGAAAGAAAAATTGACTATGGTGGTTTGAGGGAGGGTTTGTCGATTGGGGGTTTGAATTGGGTTAAAAGTTGGTGTACCTGATCGGGTGGCCCGACATACCCGATCAGGTACTCTCTTGTTTCCTCAGGTTCCGGGATCGGGCCCGATCGAGTTTGGGTTTTACTCGATCGGGCAAATTGCGTCGTGAAAATTCCAGCTTTAAACATTAATTCACCCGACCGGGTATATGGGTGTACCCGATCGGGTAGTTCGCTTTTTTCCAGAAATGCTCCAGGGGTTCGTACCTGATCGAGTTTTTGGGGGGTACTCGATCGGGTGAATCGGGACGAAGAAAATTCTTAATTTTTTGGATTTATACCCGATCGGGTCATAGGTCTACCCGATCGGGTACTGACTTTGTTTTCAGCCCTGACTCGATCGGGTGTGGGGTTTTTGCTCCACAACCCTGCCTTTTTCATCTATACCCGATCAGGTGCAGTAGTGGGGCTCGATCGGGTACACTACCCTGGGGCGTGATTTTGTCCAATTTCATCCTCTTTTTGGCATGGATCTGACCGGGTAAGTGATGATGACCGATCGGAGATTTTCCCAGGCTTTCAAAACATGATTTTCCCTTATTTTCTTTTGAGAGTTTCCCCATTTTCTCAAAGTTCACATTCCAAAACAAAAATTGAAAAGAAAAGATGAAAAATGCATACCTTGGGTTACCCGATCCAGGCCTATTTCAATTTTTTGCTTATACCCGACCGGGTAGAAAGTGTTGCCCGATCGGGCATCATGCCTTGGATCTTCTTCTTTTTTTTTGAAAATGTAAGAAACACACACAAAAATGAATGAAAATAACAAAATATAAACTTGGGTTGCCTCCCAAGAAGCGCCTTATTTAACGTCGCGGCACGACGTTATTCACTTTTTTTATGTGGGATCATGAGCATCCCTTGTTTCATTTTTCAAGGCACAGCGTTATTTCTTGTCAACATCTCAACCAATGATGACTTTCTATGTTCAATTTTCTCCTCTTCTCGAAAATTGGGATTTTATAAGATTTCTCCAAGAATATCGGTTCCTGTGGTTCAAAAATATTTAAAGAGCACAGAGAGTGATCTTTAATTTGGTCTTTTATAGAGTCAAAGATATTGAACTCTACTTTTTGATCATTGAATTCTAAGGTCAATGAACCACTAGACATGTCAATTTTAGTTTTTGAGGTCTTTAAGAAGGGTCTACCCAACAGGATAGGTGTTATTTGATCATCGTTTCCCATTTCGAGGACATAGAAGTCGACAGAGAAAACCATATTTTCCACTTCTACTGGCACATCTTCTATCACACCCTTTGGGTAAGTGCTAGAATGATCCGCTAGTTGAATTACTACACCGGTTTGATGTAGTGGGCCAAGTTGTAGGGATTTATAAATGGAATAAGGAATGACATTTATTGATGCCCCTAAATCCAACAAGGCCCTAGGAAATGTGGTGCTCCCTATCGTGCAAGGAATAATGAACATGTCTGGGTCGCTACATTTTTCGGGGAGTTTATTTTGGAAAATAGCTGAGACATGTTCACTAACTTTAACCTCTTGTTTCTCTTTCAATTTATTTTTCCTTTTTGTTTTGCATAATTCTTTTAAAAATTTAGCAAAACGAGGAACACTTTTCATTGAGTTAAGGAGCGGAATGTTTACCTCACACTTGGCGAAAGTCTCATAGATGTCAGAATCTTTCTCCGGCTTCTTTGTCTCTCTCAGTGCCTCAGGAAACGGGGCTACTGGTTCATATGATGAAAGTGGAGGGAGCTTGGCTGTTGTGACCCCCTCCTCCGGTTGAACTTCTTCTTCAGGGTCCACCTCCTTAATTTCTTGATCTACCTCCTTCCATGTCGCCTCACTTCTCAACATGATGGCATTCACATGTTGTCTCGGGTTTTGCTCCGTTTGAGATGGGAGTTTACCCGAGTCCTTCGTTTCAAGTCGGTTCACGGCATTTGCAATTTGACTAACTTGAGTTTCCAAATTGTTAATGCTTGACCTTGTCTCATGTTGAAATTGTATCATGGTTTGTTGAAATTGTCCCATGTTTTGTTGCATGGTAACCATGTTTGAGGTCAAAGTCCGGATCATGTCATCAGTTGACATATTAGATTGAGAAGATGAGTTGGATTGTTGAGGGTTTCCATACCTCAAGTTAGGATGATCCCGCAATCCAGGGTTGTAAGAATTTGAGAATGGATCATACCTCTTCTGTTGATGGCCTTGGAAACCCAAGACGTTGACTTGTTCTTCTTGGAGGGATGGGCACGAATCAGTGGGGTGCCCGGTTGCTGTGCAAATGCCACAAGCTTTGACCTCCTGAATCTTTGGTTTCAGAAGAAGTTCTTTGACCAGAGAAGTCAAACCGGCAACTTGGCTTTCCAACGAGGTGTTGGATTCTGTTGCGGCAACCCTTCGAGTTGAGGGTCGCCCACTGTAATGTCTGGAGTTCTCGGCCAACTCCGAGATGAGATTCCTTGCTCGAGAAGGGGTTTTGTTAACAATTCCCCCTCCACATGCCGCATTCACCATGCGCCTATCTTGATCCGCAAGATCATCATAAAAATAGAGGATGAGGTCTTGCTCGGTGTACCCATGATATGGGCAACTAGCACATAACTTTTTGAAACGCTCCCAATATTCATACAATGTTTCATCTTCTTTTTGCTCAATGTTGCTTATTTGTTTTTTTAAAGAAGATGAGATGGAGGCGGGATAGTACCTATCCAAGAAGCATTTTTTCATTGCCGCCCATGTGTCTATACTTCCCGGAGGAAGATAGAATAGTCAATCCTTTGCAGTGTCTTTGAGGGAGAATGGAAAATCCCTCAATTTGATTTGTTCTTCCGAGACACCACTGGGGCACATGCTTGTGCACACAATATGGAACTCCGAAAGGTGTTTGTTCGGATCTTCTCCTCTTAGGCCATGAAAGGATGGAAGTAGATGTATGAGCCCAGATTTTAGCTCAAATGTATTACCCTCATCGAGTGTAGGGAAGGTAATACATAACGGTTGTTGATTCAAGTTTGGAGCTGTGAGCTCCCTCAAAGTTCTTGTTTCAAGAGCCATAGTTATGGACTCTTCGGTCTCGCTAGAATGAGAACTAGCGCTGGATGTATCTCCGGTAGATAATTCCTCCGAGTCGGTATTAGAAAATTTATTTTTCAACCACTCGAAAGTTTGCCCTATTTCCGGGTTTGTTTGATAGGTGATTTCGTTTATGGAACGATGTTTAACCATATACTTCACCAAGCTCAGAAATAGAAGAAATAAGAACTCTTTATATTTTTATTTAATATTTTTTTATGTTTTCTTGAAATACAATAAAAAAAAAAAAATTGCCTTTCCCCAGCAACGGCGCCAAATTTGACGTGCACTTTGTCGTGAAATGCACTCAAAATAATTTATCAATACAACACTAATACGTAGTATAGTGAAGTAAGGTTCGTATCCACAGGGAAAGGAATACTTTTCTTTTATATAAATAGTAACAAGAGGGGTTTTAAGTTTGATTTGATTGAATTTAATTAACACTAAGATAAACGACTTAAATGAGTTTAATTTATAGAGATGAGGACTTGGTTTTGCTTTTATCCACTTAATGAAATGTTCGTCGATCCCGATTATATCTTTAACTATCTTCCTCTCGAATACTCAATCGAGGAGTATATCCAGTTCATCGAGGGTAGTTATTAATAACGAAACGTGTTCATTAATAAAACATACTACCGAGTTAATATAGAACAAGCGTCGTATATTAGCCCGATAGTAGCAATAAACTTAAGATGAAAACGATTGAGATTGATAACCTCAACACAAGCGGTTTATTGGTTTAATCAATATAATTAATTCCCCTTAGATTATTAACCATGAGACGCATGCATTAACAATCCAAGTTTTACTACCGTTGAAAGAACCGAATTAATAACAAGCGTATTAACCGATTGATTCTAGTAATAATTAATATATGAAACAAAACTAGTTGATCCTTTAAGTAATGCTCAAAATATTAATATGGAATATGAATAGGAAATAATTAATATTCAAGGAAGAAGATTAAAGAAAATAACTCACAACTTACAAATTCATTAAGCTTCAGAGGGAAATTTTCCGATTTTTGGTCCTCCAACTTTACTGTCAAAGACACTTCTAATCCTTGTCTTTTCATTTTTCCGAAACTGGTGCAAAATTTTTACTACCGTTGAAAGAATCGAATTAATAACAATGCATTTTTTCCCGGTTTTCGTCCTCCGGGTGTTTTTCAGGTGAACGAGAAAAATTAAGCCAACACGTGCTTAACATATGCTGATTTTTTAAGGACACAATTGTCAATCCCCCTACACCTTTTCTTCTTATCCTGATCCCCCACATCTCAAATTAAAGTAGTCTTCTCCACCCATTTCTTTCTTTTCTTAGTCTCATGTTCTCAAATTTTGAACTTATCAAGAGGCTAGAGCTTTGCATCAATTAATCAAGGTATGTCATCTTCTACCTTTCTCTGCTACCATGGATATCATTTCATTTAATTTCCTCTTCTACCTTTCCACAACTCTTCTGTCATGGACGCTATATATATTTTAATTGAATTTCATCTTCTACCTTTCGACATCTGATAAGGGATGGATAGGAGTTATGCATCAAATTCTCAAAACTCCCATGGTCAGTACTATGAGTATGGCGAGTGGATTCTTGTTGTATATTGTCACTGTAACCACAAACTGAAGTTACAGACTTCTTGGACTAAAGCGAATCCTGGGAGACGTTTTTGGCAATGTCCAATGTTCAAAGTAAGTCATACTTACTCCGTTCTTTAGTTCATATATGTGATTTGTCTGTTTGTTACGAACGGAGTGCATTTGTGGTTTAGCATGAACATTTTTTTTCAAGTTGTTAACTGATTATGGTTGTTTGTTGTGTTATTTCAGAGGGAGGTGTCATGTGGATTTATGCAATGGTTTGACCAACCAATGTCTAACAAGCCAAAAATGATTATTCCAGGACTACTGACAAAAATAAACTGCCATGAAGAAGAGATTCAGAATTTAACTATGCAGCTTCAAGAATCTGAGAAGATGATGAAAAATTTGAAACTAGGAATCTGCACTCCATGAACAAGACACCAGCTGCACTCTTGTTTATTGTGGTTGTCATTTGTAGCGTATATCTTACTAAGAAATTAAGTGGTTTTTAGTTTTTACGGTGAACGTAGAAACTATACACATTTGTCGTAGGAATGATCTCATTAAGTATGGTAAACATGTAATGAATGGAGGATTATGGTTGTAATATGTAATGAATCATCTTTAGTTATGAGGATGCATCTTTGTAATGAAAGGAGGATTATGGCTGTATTTTAACAGTAAAATACATTGTGTTTATATATTTCCTAGTTTGTAAGTAGCACATATAGCGTGCCTACATGACGGAATAAGTAGCGCTAGCGTAACACACATCAACAAATGAATTCATTGGTCCCTTCCCATACTTCAACCAAATTGCACATGCATATAGCGTGCCTACATGGGATTCCAGTGAGGTTCCATTTCCGGCAAGAGCAAGTTTTCTTGTCTAAGTTGACAGTGTGTTGGTCGTGGTGCATTTTTCTAAACAAGTAATTAACCTTTGATCCCACGCTTCGATAATCATTTCGTTAAAGATCTCACAATGATTATTTACTAAAGTGTCACACCGTGCGGCGGATGAGAAGTGTGACCTGGACCATTCACTTGGATGTTTATCACCATGAGAAGTGTCACACTTGAATGCATTTTCATCCAACTCTTTAAGTTCATGCATAGCCAATGTGAAGGTGTTAATGGTAGTGGCCCTTGCACATTTCCACAATGCATTTTACAGCGCCTTTCCTTGAAAATCAGCTACCCTCATGTTTTGTTCCAAATGTCTCACACAGAACCTGAAACACACACCATCATATGTCATCATTTCATACCCAACTAATGTTTAAATATTATTATTTTGTCAAATGGCTAAAAACAAAAACCTGTGTGCCACGTTAGGGAAAACATGTTTAAAAGATGGAAGTAAACCCTTCCCATGCGAGGCTTCTGGGTTGCTTTCCATCGGCAACCTCTTGGCGCAATGACAACTTCTTGCCGCTTGCTCTGTAAGTTTGAACTGGGAGGACATACTCCGTATAAGATAGAACATGAAGAAGGGTTTGTGCAAGTCTAATTACTCCTTTGACCTTTCAAATGAAGCATATGTTAGGCACGTGCTCGGTTTATTTTTTTCTTCACCGGAGAAACATCCCGGAGGATTAAAAATGGGAAGAGTGCAATAGTCGTGCACCAGTTTCGGAAAAATGAAAAGATAAGGATCAGAAGTGTCTTTGACGGTAAAGTTGGAGCACCAAAAATGGGAAAAGCTTCAAAGTAGCAAAACCAAGATGGAAAAGTTTAGCTCCTCATTTGAAGACTAAACATGAAGAAAATATAAATAAAGAACTTGTCTAAACTAAGCTAAGAAGTATATGTTAATTTGTTCTTTTATTGTGAATGAAAGGGGTGTATTTATAGGCTTTTGGGAACTGCAGGGTCTGATACCCGACCGGGTATATAGGATACCCGACCGGGTATCTTAGGAAATTTCCCAGAAATTCACTTTTCTGGGCATACCCGATCGGGTGTGTCGGCATACCCGATCGGGTATGTGACGAATCTTTACGAAAATTTGCTCCCACGATCATTTGTTCCCGGATTTGATTTGGACAATCGAATCAAGCAAATACCCTGATGGATAGTGTACCCGGGGGGTAGCTTATCCGAGGGGTTATTGCGGAGAATAACTAGAGAGAAGTCAGAGCAAACAAGTAAGAGAGAGAGTGTATATTCGATATGTATTAAGCGTGGTTTACAATGAGGGAAAGGGGTGCTATTTATAGTAGTAATAAATGCTAGATAAGGACACGTGTCAGTTTTCTGGTGGTCGAGGGATCACCTCGACCGGGGTGGCACTGGCACTCGCATGTGGCCGCATTAAATGTGGTGGTTGGATGTGACGTTTGTACTTGGTACGGTGATCCAGGCGCATGTGAAGAGGATATTCTGTCGAGGTGGATGCCTTCGGCTGAAGGGTGCTGGGCCGAAGGCTCTTCTAACCGAGGGCTCCTACCTGCCGAGGGCTGCAGGTGCCGAAGGCTTGGTTTTCAAGCCTTGTTCTCCTGTGATGCCTCTTCTAACCGAGGGCTCCTACCTGCCGAGGGCTGCAGGTGCCGAAGGCTTGGTTTTCAAGCCTTGTTCTCTTGTGATGCCTCTTCTAACCGAGGGCTCCTGCCTGCCGAGGGCTGCAGTTGCCGAAGGCTTGGTTTTCAAGCCTTGTTCTCGTGTGATGCATCTTCTAACCGAGGGCTCCTACCTGCCGAGGGCTGCAGTTGCCGAAGGCTTGGTTTTCAAGCCTTGTCCTCCTGTGATATTTCCGAGCTCGATTCCGTCACTGGTAGCCTTCGGCCATGGGGCCGAAGGCACCCCTTTGTGTATTGTGGGCTGCTTAGAGCTCCATTTTTCTGGGCTTGGCCCATTTGGGCCTGTTGGGCCTGATTGTAGTAGAGGAAGTATGTGGGTCGGGGGTCCCTGGGCCATATACTCCATCAGGAGTCCCCCACTCCTTTTGCCGAGGGCCGTTGGTGACGTGGAATCATGCCAAGGCCGAGGGCCATTGGTGACGTGGAATCATGTCAAGGCCGAGGGCCATTGGTGACGCGGAATCGAATTGAGGCCGAGGGCCTTTCCTTGATAGTTCTAGGAGTCCTCTGGGTGTATGTTCCTTCTTTCAGGCATCGACCGAGGGGTTGATTCCCCGCCTCGGCCGAAAGGAGGTCCAAGTGATCCGTCCGGGGGTTCGTCTGTTAGTCCCCCGGCGCTGGGCCGTCCCTTGATTGTGCCAGGAGGTCGTATGTTAGTCCTCCTGATGTGTGTTCCTTCTTCTAGGCTTCGGCCGAGGGGGTTGCTTCCCCGCCTCGGCCGGAAGGGGGTCCAAGTGATCCGTCCGGGGGTTCGTCTGTTAGTCCCCCGACGCTGAACCGTCCCTTGACCTTGGGGGTCCCGTCGTCTATTTACGGCGCGGGCTAGGCTTGGGCGGTCTCCGACGACTGTCGTTTCACCCCCAAGTTTGGGGATTTCGTCACCTCAGTCATTCTTTCAGGCCTGTCGCCGTGCGTTGCGCGCCGGCGACGAGGCGAGCGTCCCGCTCCAAAAACGCGGGCCTTTTGCAGGCCCCTCGTCTCTAGAAACCATCGGCCATACCTGGGCATTTGGCCTCGAAGGGGCCGATAAGATTTCTGGATTGTGTTGTAGTTTACTTAAATTCATAGAAATAAGCGGAATACAAGGGGTGCGTTGTTTGACAACGGCTTTGTTAAGATTCACCGCTCAAGGCCGAGGCTCTAGGCCGAGGGGATGGTAATGTGCCTCGAGGTCGAGGGCCCAAGGCTGAGACTAACGCCGAAGGTGAGGAACATGATTAGCGGAGGTGGCGCTTCTTCGGCTGGGGCTCCTCGAACTCCTCTCCGTCACTGAGCCTCCCGATTTCATGTTTCTTTGTTGCGATGTCCCCTTCTTCTTTATCGGTGTTCTCCCTGGTGTTTTTCCTTGGGGCATTTTTGATGAATTGGTGGAGCTCACCCCGTTGAATTAAGAGTTCAATAGCCTTCTTTAACGAGACACAATCGTCTGTATTGTGGGAGGTGCTTTTGTGGTAACGGCAATAAGTGCCGCCTTGGTGGATGGCGTAGATCTCCCTCACCGACCGAGGGTCCTTGGGGAAAAGGTCCTGCTCTTCCGCATAGTTGAGGATAGTGCTCACCGGGTGCGTGAGGGGAGTCCTCGGCATGTCCAGCCGAGGGCGCCATTGACGTTCGTTACGGCCCTGTTGGGTGTGGCTTCCATGGTCTCGGCCTCCGGCCGAGGGCACATTTGGGGCCGGTGTGTTGTTTATCTTCTTCGAGGGCTGGCCCTCGTTCTTCTTGAAGGAGTGGAGGTCGTCGGCGTCGGCGTATAGGCTCCCCCGCTGGAGTGCTCTGAGGTATGATCTTGGGGGGTCGGTGATGAGGCTCCGTGCGTAGGGGCTGCTGCGGAGAACCCCCTGGAAGAGGACGAGGAGGGTACGCTCGTCGGTGCCCTCGACCTCGTCTGTCTCCTTCATCCACCGGTCAATGAAGGACCGAAGTGTTTCGTCAGGCTGTTGCTTGACGGAGAGGAGCTGGGAGAAGTGCTTTCTCGCGCGCTTCCTTCCGGCAAAATGGGTGAGGAAGCGTTGGGCAAGATCTTGCCAAAAGTCAATGCTGCCCTCGGGCAATCGATTGAACCATTCGTATGCTGGTCCCTCCAAGGTGGAAAGGAACCAACGACATAAGTATTCATCTGATGCCCCCATCATCATCATGTTGTTTTGATACCTGTTGCAGTGCTCCTGGGGGTCAGTTTTTCCTTCATAGGGCTTGATAAGTTGCCCTCGGTACTTTTCCGGGATTTGGGCCGCCAATACCCTTGGGGTGAATGGCGTCCGAGTCCGAAGCTGGATGATGAGTTCCCCGGAGCCCTCGGCTACCTTCTTCTGTAATTCCTCCATTTTGGCCATCATGGCCTCGTATTTGAGGTCTGAATGAGGGGTGGAGGTGGTGGCGTGAGCTTTGTCGGCCTCCATTTCATCAAGTCGACGTTGGAGGGCCGCAATAATTTCGTCCCGGGGGTCCTTCGGGAGGGTCTCCGCCCCCTGTGAACGAACCCGGGCCGAGTGGGCCTGGTTGATCTGGTGGCGAACATCGTCGGCATGAAGGGGTGTCTTGCCTTTGTCCCGAGGGGGACGCTCCTCGTCTGCCCTCGAGACAGACCCTCCGCTTTCTTGGGGCCCACGGCGGTCTTGCCCCCCTCCGAGCCGGTTGAGGGCGGAAGTGCGGGGCCTTTCTCTGTTGTCATTGTGGCGGTCCCGGGACTGAACTTCCTGGGAGGCCGTGTCTTGGGCCACTACCCCTTCGTCATTCCTAACCCGAGGGATGGGGTTTCCGAAGGGGTGTGGCAGAGGGGGAAGTACGATGTTCTCCCCAACCTGGGGTTGAGCCGGAGCCAGGGTGCCGAAGGCACCCGGGTTCTGAGTTAGCGTCTGGATGAAGGCGGAGAGTGCCGAATGAACGTCGATGGTGAGGACCGGAGGGCTGACTTGGTCATCGCTCCGGTTTTTCTTCTTGGCCTCGATGCCGAGGCGGGCATCGGGGGCATTCTGCTGGATCTGAAGGCGTAGGTCGACAGCCGCCTGTTCCAGCCCAGCGATGACACCGCCCTCGGGAGCCTTGTGAGGGGCTTCGGGAGCGTTGACGTCGCCGAGGGCCAAGTTCTTGTCTTCTACGTTTTTGGAGTTGGCACGTGTTGTTCTCACCATTTTGGTAGATG